GAGCGAATTCTTGTGCATATTCAAAAGATAATTGAGCTACAAGGTGGTAACGAGTACATAGAGGGGAGAGACAAGCCTCGGCTAAGGCGGCCGTACATCGGATAGATTATTCTTGGCGGGACAGAACTTTTGTGAGGCACCTCCGTACTCGAAGCCCGATGCTGCACTCCCATGAACCCAAGCGTACAAGCGAGAGCGTTTCATTGTTGCACCACTACTCGCCAAAGCCTGTTAGCTTACTTAGGCAACCAGCAGAAGCCGCCCCCACATCCTCATCAGGAAACCTAACAAGCCGCCCTTTATTTGTCAGGAGATATACTCATCGGTAGATCTGGGCGGCATGGCAAGCTCGCAAAGCTAAGCCAGTATTCCAGCCCCCAGTGGGCAACCGAGAGGGCCACAGCCCTAGTTGCCATGCATGACATACATGTGCCGATCGTAGCTAAACCTTATCTCAATCATAAATGACACCAATTACATTGTGAGGGTGGTGCCGGAGATGCTGGTGGTGGGTTACCGAAGCTAACCCTGTGAATCGGAAGCCGGCGCATACGAATGAACATTGTTTAGCTGTAAGCTTACCCGAGCTGCGGTGTCACATCCCGCAAACCTTACCCAAGTGTGCGGAACTACTGTGACAAGGTTCATGCTCGTCCCATCAAGGTCTCACCCCGTTCGTCTTCGTGTATATCGGCCCTTTTCATGTCGAAACCCTCCTGGTTCTTGGTTGCCTCCTGGCACTTTGAAAGCAGCCGCTTACCCTGTTAGTACCCTACGCCGTTCCCACCGATCAGAAACAAGCACTTTAGTCCCGGACCAAATGTTTGTGAAACTTTGCCGCACTTGTCATCCATAAACTATATTCTTGCCAAAGTAAAATGCTATTTTGTCTCCTCGAGAATCCGATACCGTAATCACCCGACCTGGTGTAGGACAAACTTTACTCCGTGTTGTTGTATACGCGTCGCCCATGTTTTGGCAGCGCCATCGTTCGACGTTGGGCAAGGCGGTCAGCGCTCAAGCTACTACTTGGATTAGGCCCAGACGGTTCTTCTCCGAGCGCTTATTTACCATCGCCTTGACGGGCCTGATGGCAAGTCCCCAATGCTACTATAGGGCATTGCGGCAACACGCACCCGATGAAACACCAACAATCGTCCCGTTTCTCTTCCTAAATGTGGATGGACGGGGCCTTGCTCTGTGCCGTTAAATATCGAATCATGCGGTTTAATCGGCCAACTTGCATTTGCGAATCAACCATCGGTGACACATCCAAGGCAATATTTTGCGCCTCGTTTTTGTACAGCACATGGCCAAAGCAAATGCCTAGATTGGCAAGGTTTCAGAGAACAAAAAAGACCCCATGTCGCAGAACGAGATGAAAAATTTCGAGACAGATTTCAGTTGTCATAATTTTCAAGTCTCAGATTCCTTGCACTGATTAACCGATCGGGACACGCAGGGTGGAATTCGTGCATGAAGGGTCCTGGATCTACCCATCCAGGTTGGAATTTGCACCGAGACGCACATGATGAAGTCACTATGCAATTCTAGCAAAAGATGCACCGTCTGAGGATATCACGCAACATCCGAGCTCTCCCGCTCACCCGCTGACCCGATGCTTCGCATGGTGCATGATAACGGGACCGTGATTCGGAAACCCCGTATTATGACACGGGTGCATGGACTTGGTGGTCGCAGTATCAGCATCATCACTATCACATTACGGGCACACCCTCAGGCACTGTTCATAGTGCGACTAATTGCTACAATTGGTTCCCCACAATAGTTATCACAGAAGCCACATCTTGGCAATACAATATGTCTTCAAGCCAATCCATAGGACATGTCTGACCCAGTCAACAGAACTATATCCTCAGTCACAATTATGTATGGACGCAATGAGACCTGAGTAGCCATTTAAGACAAGGCAGCCAGGTCAATTAAACGTCCACGACGTCGTTCTTGGAACATTCTTAGAGGGCTTATATCGAAGGTGGTACTGTTCGACCAAGCGTGACAAATTGGTTCCTGAATCTGCATGTACGTGGTACGGCTGCGATCGAGATGAGGTCGCCGTGCGTTCATCAGTGAAGGGGAAAGAGTTTGATTGGAGCGGGCGCGTTTGAGGGACTGGACAGCATAACTCAAATTTACCTCGTCCACGTATGCGAATGAGACTGCGATAGACAGCAGACTTGTCTACTAACTGTGCTCTCAATCTGTGAGAGTATAATCGATGTAAACATGGATATCGATGTGAAGACACTCGTTGAAGTGCAGTTGTCGCGTTGCGAATAGAGGTAGAAGGATGCTGGAGGTAACGACAGAAAGTTTTCCAACTGAATTCCGCGATGCACGGTTGCACGTGCCGGCGCTAATCCCCATCCGGTACCCTTGCAACTGCCCCCTCAACCACCCTATCCGCAACCAACTCTCACACTCAATCCCAACATCCCTAGCCATGTCGGCTTTCGCCTGTGAACCCACACAGGAGGTTTCTCATTGATATTGTCAATTATGTCCTGTCTCCATCCGGAAATCCAACCGCGAAACGGCATATCATGCCCCGATTCCCCTTGCGCATCTTCCGCCTCCCCTACACCCGCGCAGCACGCCGGCGACGCATGTACACAATGATTACCGCTATATGCGTGGTAATTACATTTATATTGCCATTCTATGTCATTTACAAGCCCCCAAATCTTCTGATCCGCTATTTTCAACAAAAGTGGCCAGATGTGTTATGGCACATGCCTGCTTCTACTCTGCAACGAAATGGGGAAGATATGGATAAAGTCGTTGCCCTGACGATCGATGATGCCCCTTCAGAATTTACTTTGGACATTCTCAAAGTATTGGGAGAGAATGAAGCAAAAGCAACATTGTTCGTCATCGGGGGCCAAGTTGGTGGACGAGAGACCATCCTCCAACACGCAGCAAAAGCAGGGATGGAATTGGGAAATCATGCCATGCATGACGAGCCATCTCGCTCCTTGACGCCAGCAGTTCTCGAGTCAGAAGTTCGACAAGTAGAAGGATTTATCAACGGGACCTATGATGCTGTCAATCTGCCACATCCACCACGATATTTTCGACCTGGATCAGGCTTCTTCAGCACAAGGATGCGCAGACAGATTAAAGAAATGGGTTATCAGATGGTTCTGGGTAGTGTTTATCCCCATGATCCGCAGATTGCTTACCCGAGTGTGAACGCACGGCATATCCTGAGCATGGTGCGGCCTGGAAGTATCATCATATGTCATGATCGACGAGAATGGACGGTTGTGATGTTGAGAAAAGTGCTCCCAGAGCTAAAGAGAAGAGGCTATAGAATTACGACAGTCTCTGAGCTACTAGAGGCAGCAGGAAGAAACAAAGCGACTTGATGCATTCAATAAGACGTTGCAGCAATAGAAGATTAGCGTTAGATATAGCGGTTTACGTGTTCGATGTGAACACCTCGATAGCGGCTAGAAAATAATGAGATTTGTAGCTATGTATCTCTGCGGGAAGAGTTCCCGTGCTCAAACAAGCCTCCTATTGCATGCATTGACGCTCAAGGCAATGCAGGGCCACGGCGTCACGGATACGAGTAGAAAAATCGAGGTATGTCTATCACGATTCCGCCACAATGGAACGAGTCGAGCAGTGCTGACACCCCACGTTTTGGAACCGACACAACGATATCCGATTCCAGTAACTCCTGGTAGTGACTGGCTTCATCCGTGAGTTGGCTTGATCCAAGGCGCTACTTTATTTTCAAGATCAATTATTCTTCAAGTTCTAGGGATCTATCAAGCGGATAACAGGAACACGATGCGAATTGGACTGTTGCATTGAACAACATAATTCGAAGAAGTTGTTCGGTGACGAGACTAGGCATCTTCGTTGCTACACAAATGCACTATCTCGATTGAGTTAGAAATTGTTAGTGCAGTAATCCACGGGGGATGTTGCCTTGTCGGCACGTGAGCGCGGGACTAGCGCGATCGCGTTCCTTCCTCCTCCAAGTTCACGGTGCGGCGCGTCATCCTTAACCGCTAGGCTTCAACCTCACCAGAGCGGCGACTGATGATTGCCACACCTTGACAACTCCAAAAATGCCCGCGTAAGTAGATGTTGAATCTGCACGATTGTTCTTGCCTCAGTGTGCATTTAGTAAACGGGAATTAATACAACTGCAGGCCAGGCGACCAGTACAGTGGCGGCAACGTCAAGAACCCATTCGAAGAGCGCGTCAACAACAACTTTACAGCATCAGAGATTGTCACACTGCAAAGCAAACTAAACAAGCAACTTGGCCCCGAATATATATCGCAACGACCCGGTAATGGTGGTGGCAGAGTGGCGTACTTGGAGGGGAACAAAGCTATAGCGCTTGCGAACGAGGTCTTTGGATTCAATGGCTGGTCAAGCTCTCTAGGACAGGTGCAGATTGACTATGTACGGCTCACCATGCCCAGTGGCAAAACACAGGCTAATGAGGACAGGTCGACGAGCACCAGAATGGCAAGGTGAGCCTCGGGCTCTCAATAGTCGTGAGGATTACGCTCAAGGATGGCACATACCATGAGGTCTGTATAACTGCTCACAGTCTCCCGGTTCATACTGACATGGTCCCAGGATATTGGCTACGGATCAATCGAGAATGGCAAAGGCAAAGCCGCATCGTTCGAAAAGGCAAAGAAAGAGGCCGCAACAGATGGCCTGAAACGCTCTTTACGCACATTTGGCAACGTTCTCGGCAACTGTCTGTACGATAAGGAATACCTCAAAAAAGTCCAGGCCATGAAAGTCAAGCCCATTAAGTTCCAAGAGGAAAACCTTTATCGCCATGTCGACTTTGCACCACGACTACCTCAACCCGAGCCACAAGCCATAGTCAAACAAGAAGCCCTAATAACACCCGCCAGGCCTGACCAGCTTCTTCGAACACGTACCGATCAATTGAACAATGAGTCTTTTGGAGCCGACTTTGATGACGAAACCGACGAGAATTTATTTGATGGAGTTGATGTTTCTGAGGGGCATGGAGATGAGTTCTCCTTCTCAGAAGGTCTCTCTGCTTCCGAAACCACAGCACCACGCACAGCCGAGTCAGCGAAATTAAAAGCGACATCGTCTGGACGAACATCTCCGGTCAGAAATACAGGGCCTCCTCGACAGCCCAATGGTAGGCCGATACAAGCAGGTTGCGGTCAACCAGTAGTGCAACAGCAACAGAATCCATCCAACCAAGGGCCAGGAAGGCTTTTACCGCAAATACAAAACGGTCGACAACCCCAGACACCAATTCAGCAGCAACCACGCCCAGTGCAAAATAACGGACGTATGCCTCCACCAGCTGCAGAAAATGGAGCTGCATCAAGGCCTGTTGGACAACAAAACCAACAAGCTCCCAATAACCAGCCCCCACGACCCAACCCTTCACAAGCACAACAGCCGCCTAACCAACAACGCCAAGGACCTCAGGCCCAACCCACAACAACGCCAGCAACGAACGCAACGGCCTCAAACCAACGACCAACTGTCGGATTCGTTACCTCCCGCGCTGCTGAGCTCCTCCAATCATCCGAAACAACCACACTAAACAATCTCCCACAATTTAACCCTAACGCAGAATCTCCTATTCCAAAGGAGAAACGAACTCCCGGCATCGACCACGCACGCAGTGTACCCATCAAACGTGAAGCCGTCGGCGCTCCCCCCGCCCCTCAACCTCCACCCCAACGACCTGGTGCCTCATCAACCGGCTCTTTCAACCGTCCAAACATAGTGAACCCGCATCTTGACAGCAACCGACGAATCGGCATGCCCGGTGCGCCCAACTACGCCATGAGTCCTAGTGCGAACCGTGGTGCTTACAAGCCCCCCACATTTGCTAACGGGAATGGCATCAAGAGGGAGAGGGCAGCATTACAGGACGTTAGCAATGTGGGTGTAAACGGTCAAACGGCTTCTGTGGAGGGACCAGACGCAAAGAAGCAAAAGGTTGATGCGCCACCGGGTGCTGAGAACAACGCGGGTGTTGCTAGCACATAGATGGTATGAAGTTTGTGATTTGAGACGGCCGAAGTGCATTTATAACATTTTATTATTATTCGGTCATGATGAGCGAGGTGTTTTTGGGTGTGTGCTAAAGATGGGGTCACGGCGTTTTTTTTGGGGGGGGGGAGGAAACTAGATACCGTAACGGTTACGTATGAAGTATGCAGTACAATTTAAGAGCCTCACGGCGTTGTGCTTGAAGTTTGAGAAACCATGGGCAGATTTTTGTTTGCTCGGGACTATTACTTGACCATCCCACGGTCAACTTTGCGTTTAGCGATTGGGCGCGTTCCAAGACAGAGACATGAATCACATGGCCATTTTCAACAAAAAACGTCATTGGATAAACAATCGATCTCCCAACTCTCTTTTTTCTCGTGTTTGCTCGTGGATGAAAAGACGTCCCTTCCCACCTTTTCTTCACAAAATCCTGCTCTCTATACAAAACTCCTAGGTCTCTGTATAGACTTTTTCATGCGGATATTGCCAAGTCGTCGTTTATTTATTTTTTGCTTGGGATAACCGGTTCGGGCAGGTTGGGGGTGGGGGTCTGCCATTTTGTTCTCATATGATTGATTTGATACAATATGTAGCAAATAGAGATAGAAAAAAAATAAGTTATACGTGTTGGAATCAATTAGGACTCGACTTTGAGTCCTACTGATCCGCGACACTGATTGGTCGACACGAGCACTGGCAAAGGCGTCGTCACCGCCTATTGGCCCGTGCGCGGAGGTACTGTAGATACTCAACACGATAACAGATACAATCAATCAATCCGCTTCCTCACTATAGTATTTGCAGCTGCAAGTTGATTCACCACGTGCACCTTTATCGTGCCAACAATACGAGTTCCCATGTAAAGTAGTAATTTTTTTCTAGACATTTCACAAGTGGTTGAACATTCCATGGTAGAGTCAAGGATGGGGGTGTAAGGAGAGTGGAACTAAACCATATTCGTTAAGCCAATAATATTTTTCACAATTCCAGAAAAAAAAAGTGAAGAGCGCTAATGCCTGAAGAAAACCAAAAAAAACCTACTAAAGGACCCAAACTACCAAGATCTCTAAAAGCATGTAGAGAGTCAACACGAACGAAGAGAGAGACATATAATGGAAGATCAGAATCCCCTACTATCGCCTCCTCCGCCCAAGACTGTCACTTGGTGCACTTCCATTCCCACCACCACCACCACTACTACTACCGTTGCTCTCGCCATAATACATGTCAACGTTCATTCTTCAGAAAGGGGAATTATCTCAGCGCTAGAAATCGCAAAGACCCCGGGGAGATACGAAGCAAGTGAAACTAAGAGGGAGAGAGGATGACCCCTAGATATCTAGAGATTACCTCTTCTTGCTTCCTGGACGTGGTTTGCATTCATCTCCGAGAATAGGGTGAAGCTTGATCTTGATGGGGTACTGCTGATTGTTTCCTCCGTAGCCCTTGCTCCAGTCATAGCTGACTGCGTATGCGAAAATGTTTCCGTCTTTGCTGAAGCTCGTTGCGACGATGCTGCCACCGACTTCAGGGTAGCCCTTGAGGCGGTGCTTTGCGTCCTTGTCCCAGAAATGGAAAGTGCCATCGGAACCGGCGGTGGAGAAAGTGCCGTGTTGTGGGTGGAAGGAAATGGCGTTTACAGAAAAGACCTTTGCGGTTTCGCGAGCGTTGGGGTCGGGTTGGCGGTGGCACTTGAAAGAAAAGTTGAGGCTGCAAGGGTGTTAGATGGGCTCTCTGACCCATAGAGTTTGGAGAGTATAAAGTGCTTACCTGGTATCCTTGTCCTCGACGTATTGGATGGCGCAACGGCCCTCAATGGAGCCAACAGCGAAGCCGGTGGCATCTGTGAAACAGCTGACCACTCTTGTCTGCCACTTGAGTGGACTAGTGATAGTTTTGTAAATGGTCGTGGGGTTAGTCAAGTTGACCATGTGGATGTGGCGCTCTGCTGTCGCAATGACGAGCAATTGATCTTTGACGTCCATGCTGTAGACGCGCTCCTGACATTGCAGAGTGCCGACGGGTTCGGCGCCCTGTAGATCCCAAAACTTGACCGTCTTGTCCCATGAGCCAGTCGCAACATAGTCCTTACCGCCAGTCTGGAACCAGCGTACGCACTTGATGGCGTTCTCGTGAGCTTTTGCTTGCTGGGCGGGGATAGTACCGCTGGCTGGGGCAGTACGGAAGTCAACAATATTGAGCATGCCTGTTGAGTCGCCGGCTGCTATGCGTGTGCCATCCTACATCATGTTAGCACCCTGTTCCATACCATGGCGTTGCTTTCGTAGACGCACCTTTGACCAACCCACACCAAGAACATGGCCCTGGCACTCAAACATCCACTTTCCCATTGCGCCGTTGCCGTTGACTTCGTAGATGTAGACCTTCTTGTCCCAGCTTCCTACCGCGAGAAAGTCGTTGGTTGGCGAGAACTGGAGGTCGGATATGCTGTCGCTGGGTACTTGGCCGGCTGGCACCTCGACATCTTTGCTTGTGTCTCCCGTTGTGGAGCTGGTCGCAGCAGGCGCCGCGGCTTGACCGAAAAGCGCCATGTCTTGTGGCTATGTGTGGTTTGTTGCGCACGTCAAGATGTCGTGATGTCTTGTTGTGGAGCTTTGCGCAAGCTGCAATAGTGGGTCTCGCGGCGGTGGAGTGATGGAGATATTCGGACGCGCTCGACAGACAAAGGTTGAGGCGCGACGGGATACTTGGAAGCTGAAGGAAGTGATTGGAACTGCAGCGCAACCGAATCTTATGTTCTTGACCACCAACGCGCCCCAGTAAAGAAAGAGCGGCTGTACCAAAGCTTCCCAGGCACCCTTGCAAGGCACCAGTCCGCCTTCTGCCTAGTGTGCCTAGCGCCCGGCGTTACGATTCCCCGATTCCACCTAAAAACTCGACGCACCATGCCAACTTTCTCTTCCCAACGTTCCTCGCTCGAAGAATCGCAACGAAGCACACGCACAGAGCGCACTTGCGGCGTCTCTTCCCTCGAATGCTTTGGGAGAAAGTCCCCGGACATCGATCTTCGCGATCGCACTTTTAGCAACGAACCGCCATAGAAGCTGCGGCTTCCATCACCGACTACGGCACTTCTCCGCTTCTCTTCATCGCTTTTACTCGAATTCCACTAGCTCGCCCGACGCTGCGAGTGGAGGGGCTGGCACCTGGATGATGACATGAGTCCGTTGGCTACCTTGCTTGCATGCCGAGGGTCGCAACAGAGAATCGAGGAGTTGGGAGACGATGGAGAGTGCCAAGGTATGGAGGGTCTTCTCGTCGAGTTTATGGTAATGCGATTGCCTTTCCTGCGCTTTGGTAAAACAAAGTCGGCTGGAGGGTAACTCAATGGGGCTTATTCTCGAGGCGAGGAACGTTCACCTCAAACATTTTTCGGATCTGAGGATAGCCGTCCTTTCACATTTGGAGGTGACGGGCTATACCGTGCTTGGTCGAACAAGCCGGATTCATCCAGCCAGACAAGGTTCACATGATGAGAAACATTAGAAATAGAGTCAAGCTCTGAGGCTGTCTGAATCCCAAAGTGGTAGGACGGCCTTTGCTGAATTTTCTACGACGGTATCTGAAGAACCTTGCGGCTTAAATAGCTTCTTTTTTTTCCTTGAATAAAAGCAAAGTTTGCTCATGAAAAATTTGTGTCCATAGTTGCCGGAGTGGTATCATGCATCGGCTAAAACTGTTGGTATCTGTATTGAGTGTTTGCTATACAGAGCTCATGCGTCAGCACCGACAATGAAGTCCCGGACCTCTTTGTAGGCCTTGTCCAAGTCCTCGTTGATGACAATCTTGTCATGTGGCGCTTCTCCGCTGTGTGCAAAATCCAGCTCAACCTTTGCCTGATTTAATCTCTTTACAATGGCCTCTTCCTTGTCAGTGGCCCGACTCCTCAGTCGCTGCTCCAGGACCTCCATAGACGGTGGCTGGAGAAATAGAAATCGCGGACGGGGAAATGTGGGATGGTTTGCGACTTGCTTGACACCCTAGAGACCTGTTAGTTGTGCCTGAGCTTGAAGTTGGTCATGTTGTTGCGCACCTCCATCTCGATGTCCAGAATGCAAATCTGACCCTTCTCTGCAATATCGTTGACAGCCTTGATGCTCGTTCCGTAGTAGTTGCCTCCAAACTGCGCATGCTCTACAAATCCCTTCTTTTCAATTAGGTCGAGGAACTCTTCCTTGGTCACGAAGTAGTACTCCTTGCCATTCTGCTCGGTCCCCCGGGGTGCGCGCGTGGTGTGGGATATGCTGAAGCCAAACTTTCCAGGAAACTCTTCGAAGAGACGCGAGAGGATGGTGGATTTTCCAGCGCCGGACGGGCCACTGATTACAATGGGCTGGTTCGCTGAGAGGGCGTCTTTAGAGACGGGGGCAGTGTCGGTGGGAGCCATCGTGAAGGCGCGGTGGGTGAAGGTGCGCGAGGAAACGGGTTTGCAGGTGGTTCGGAGGTATGCGGTGCTGAATCTTGGTAGCGGAGAACGAGTTACTCGTGCAATACAACTTCTCGAATCAGTCAGTAGGCTTTGCGATAGCCAGGAAAGTGTCAATGGCATGCCTATCGTGAGCTGGGACAATGCGGGGTGTTGATTGGCGGTGAAGCTAGGGGGTCTTCGGTGTTTGGTGGGGCGCTCCAAGTGGGATGATGGGCGGGACCTGTGACATCGCGTTTTCGTGTAGTTACTGACCTCATTGACCTGGAAATTTGCCAACCCTTGCATCGCCTTGTCCATGTTTCGCTAATTGTTTGTGCATGGGAGCGGTAGAGCTACCACGCCTTCGAAATGGTGCGCAATACATATTTCCATCTGGATCTTGTCCTGACAGCTTGTAGTCGAAACAATACCTTACCCTCCACACGGTCGAGTCGGCCCATCCCAAAGCGAGCGACATCTTCGCTGTAGCGCCGACTAGTACACAGTTACTCTCAGCTTCTGGTGCGAGCAGCATCAGTGTTTACGACACCACAAAACCCGACTTTCCAGTTATACAAACACTTGACAAGGCACACCCGCTCGGCATACACCACCTGGTGACTGCGCGCGAAGAGAAGGCACGACGGGCTGCGAGTGCTGGTTTCGAGGGCAAGGTCAAAATATGGAGCCAGAGTGAAGACGGAGTGTGGAGTGAGGATGGAGAGATTGTTGGTGGGTACGCCTTGCGCTTTCTTTGCCACTGCAATTGGATCGTTCATGTCGCCGGGACGGGTGCTGACTTGTGTCACAGATCAGAACAAACCGGGTGAGGTATGGGCGATTGCAATGAGCGCAGATGGGCAGTACCTTGCTAGCAGTAGTATCAACGGCAAGATAAATGTCTGGAGCTTGAACAAAGACGAGGATATGCCCCGCATACGCGAGTATGAGACCAAAGGCAGCTTTGGTTTGTGCGTAGACCTGGTATGCTTTGGCTGTCTTTTTTATACTGCTTGAGTCGTTACTAACAAGTAAAAAGAGCCGTGACGGCAGCTTCACAGCCTCGGGACATGAGAATGGCTCGATATACGTTTTCAATAACGACACTGGGCGTCTTGCGCACTCTCTAGCAGGCCTCGTACACCCAATTCGCAGTGTGGCCTTCTCCCCAACTTCAAAGCTCCTAGCAGCAGGAGGCGATGCCAGAATCATCGCAATTTATAATGTCTCTTCGGGTGAGCAGGTAGCGAACCTCACAGGCCATGGTGGCTGGGTACTCAGTCTCGACTGGAGCGACACCGGCGAGTATCTGCTGTCAGGGTAAGATGCGACTATGGATTCGCAAATGCAATTGTTAACTTCGTCTCTAGATCTCACGACTCAAAAGCAAAGGTATGGCGGTTTGAGACTAAGACGTGCGTCGCAACTCACTCCCACGGCGACAAGCCTCTTTGGAGTGCGAAGTGGTTACCCAAGGTTCCTACAAAGAGCGAGATGTTTGCACTGGCGGGAGGAAACAACACCATTGGAATATACCGAGAGGCTGCTGGCTGATTAATGGCTTGCCTGAGACCTATTGTGCTATACTGCATAATGTATGACGGCGTTTGAGCTGACAACGCTCGCTGAACCCACAACACACTGCTGCCTTGTAAAGGGTCAATCATCAAGCTGATGGTGGCAAGGGGTGTAAAGTGAACATGGTAGAAACATTCACCATGCAGTTGCGATTCGACAAACCTAGGTAATCATCATATGATGTGCTCTTACCTCAGATCAATTGATAACACAAATTCATACAATCTGCGTCATGCTGATCATACAATAGTACGTGATATATCTACGCAACTGCCATGATCCGCATGCTTCCGTTTCTACTTTATGAGCATTGAGGGTTAGGAAAAAAGATAATTGGCACTCCCAGTCAGACTCTAGAGTTACTATCAAGTGGATGGTGTTGTCGGAAGAACGGCAGGAACAAATAACACGGCTGTCTAGCTATGGCCTGATACTCACATGGATTATTGTTTGTACAAAGCAGTTGCGGTCCAAATGGCAGGTACAATTGGCCTTTCGTGTTGGTATTACCTCTACTGCCGTCCCTCACTTTTACTTACCCCTGAAGACAACAACAGAGACACAGCACTACCATCACTATTGCTACACTATCACAATGCGTATTGTCAAAATCCCTTATTCCCTCGTTGCAGCCGACGTTGCGGCCGAAAATGCCGCCGCGAAAGGCATCAACGACTCGTCCGATTCATCCTCCAGTACCCGACGCTTCGGAGCCGCCCACCACTGTGTTTCAGATATCCTACCCGTCGTCCCCGAAAATCCGCCGTTCTTTGCACACTGCGACCCACCGTGGACATCATATAGCTATACGCTATGGCACAGGCTAATAGCCAAATCCCAAGGTCTACAGGGGGGCGAATACCACGAGGTCGTCATCCCTGGATTTCTTTACGAAGATATGATGAGATGCTACAGTGCATGGATAACCACTGGCCGCATCCGCAAGGGTGTACTTGAGGAAATGCTCGAGACTTTGAAATCCACAAAAGCAGGCCAAGAACTTGTTTCACTTCTGGATGGCGAGCGGAAATGGTTCATCAGGCTGGATCATATGTCGCCAAAAGACAGTCCCATGGAAGGTGGATTGTCATCATTGACGGTGCAAGATGTTATGACGAAGCTCTGTACGTCCATGCGCGCGTATACTTGCCTTCAACGTGAGAAGGTGGACGCAGTGAAGGAGGATCGGGAGATGAAGATCAAACTCGTGCTCAACAGATGGGATGGAGGAATGGATCCTGGGAGGGAGTTTAGGGTCTTTGTTTCACCACCTGCCGCAGCCCAGGCAAGAACAACAAATCACCCCATGGCCGCTCCCAGACCGGACGACTTCAGAATCAGCGCCATTAGCCAGTACAGATGGACCTTGGTGTTGGCGGTGTCAAGGGGTGTCACCCTGGAAGAGATGGTAGCAAAGGTCGAGGTGGGATCGAATGCAGTTCTCCAAGATATCGTTAAGTACATGAAGGAGAAGCTAACGGAGCATGTGGTTGATATGTTACTGAAGCACGGGTTCAGTTTTGATGTGGCGCTAAAGCCGGACGGCACTGTTCAACTCGTCGAGATCAATCCTTTCGGGGCATTGTCGCCGTGTGGAGCCTGTCTTTTCAAATGGATACGGGATGGTAAAGCGCTTTATGGAATGGAGGAGGCACAGTTTGTTGTGACGTTGGACGAGGCACTGCCGTAGTTCCTTCAAGTTTGTGGCGTTGGGCTTGTTGATGCATAAGTTTCTCAGACCCCGAAAAGGGAGGTTGCGTCACCAAAGTTGCTTCTTGTCGACCCAGACAGATTTCCTTATTAGAAAAAACAAAACAATTTGTGTTGGAGATTGGGTAGCCTCTAGCTTAGGTAACACATAGCTGAGGAACTTCGGAGGCTCCGCCTGCCAAGAGAGGTACGTCTACCCATCGCATGCAGAAGCGGCCCCGCCCGATTGGCTCGAGACTTGTGAAATCCTCCGTATGTGTTTCATTCGCCGGTGTCTAGAATCGCCCAAGATTGAACGGCATAGGGGACGTTGTGGGCGCGACGCTGTCTGAGGCGTTGATTCGCCACTTGTCGGATCCACCGTCACAGCGACAGCGTACCAAAGGGCGGCACAACCGCCGCCACGCCCTTAAGCCTTGCCACTGCAGATGCTTCATTTGAGTCCCTCAACGGCTTGTCCAATCTGTTACGTACATCTAGAAAACGTCCTCTCTCTCTACTCTGGCCCGGTCCACTTTTGTCGGGAATGTCTTGGCTCCTGCGAAATAGGGGAATGATCTCCCTTTGCCAAGCTGGCTCTTCAGAAATGAAACCAACTCCACTGGCCGCCTATTATACCTCATAGTAGCTATAGCTGTTGGTATACTCACAGCCAGCCGTTGCGAATTTTATGCTCGGCACACCTAGTCCTCATTAGTCGCGAGGCCAATAGCAAGAGTAGACGAGCTCTGCCGCAGAGAAATCCTCCTGCCTAAACGAACGATGAAACGCGGACAGCCTCCCGTTCCATCTCGCTGCCGCAATGCGACCTGTAGTGACCTAATCACTCCAGCCTTGTGGCTAATGAGAACTCCACTCTATCCATCTCGACGATGCCAATCAAGTCTGTAGCAGATTGTACCATCGGATGATCACGTCGATCCCGCGGCCAGCCTCACCTCCCTGTGTACAGGAGACATGATTTATAAATGCTCGTCTGCTTCAACTTGACAAATACCTCACCACCTCACCACCTCACTCAAGTCTCTTCTACTTCTTCCTCTGGCTAGTCCATCCATTCGCTCATTTCTCGATTCGATTCTTTGCAATTCTCGCTCTCTCGTCGTACTTCCGCTAGTCGCAAATACTTCTACTACTTGCAAAGATGCATTCATTCAAGACTGTTCTTGCTCTTGGAGCTCTCCTGCCCGCATTCCTTGCGCAGGCCAGCAAGATTATCCGTACCCGCAACGAGCACACCATTCCCGGCTCGTGGGTTGCCCGTATTGAAGAGAATGAAGTCCTCGAGGCTGTTCTCTCCACTGTCCTGGAGGCTGCTGGTATCGAGTCCAAGGAAACCTACTCTGTTGGAGGTGTCAAGGGTTTCACTTTTGATGCCGACGATACCATCCTAGATATCCTCGAGAGCATGGGAGCCATCAAGTCTGTCGAGCCTGACTACAAGATGTATGCTTCCGTCCCGGTTGGCAGCTTGAAAGCGCGCCAAACCAACGGTACTCTTACTACCCAGAAAGGCTCCCCCTATGGCCTGGGACGCATCTCCCACCGTGAGCCTGGCACTAAGGATTACATTTTCGACAGCTCTGCTGGCGAGGACACTTTCATCTATGTCATCGACACTGGTGTCAACACCGAGCACACCGACTTTGGCGGCCGTGCCACTCTCGGAAAGAGCTTCATCGCCGGATCTGACGGCGAAGACGACCAAGGCCACGGCACCCACTGCTCTGGAACCGCCGCCGGCACCAAGTTCGGTGTAGCTAAGAAGGCCAACATCATCGGTGTCAAGGTCCTCGGCGCAGACGGCTCTGGTAGCAACTCTGGTGTCCTTAGGGGCATTCAATGGGCCGTTGACGACGCCACCGAGAAGGGCCACATCAACCGCACCGTCCTCTCCATGTCCCTCGGCGGCCCCTTCTCCCAAACCACCAACGACGCCATCCAATCCGCTGTTGAAGCTGGTGCTTTCGTCGCCGCTGCCGCCGGAAACGAAGGCGAAGACGCATCCAACTCCTCCCCCGCCTCCGCACCACAAGCCTGCACCGTCGGCGCCACAAACGAGCGCGACCTCATGGCCTCCTTCTCCAACTTCGGCAAGCTCGTCGACATCTTCGCCCCCGGAGAGAAGATCCAGAGCGCCTGGATCGGCAGCTCCACCGCTACCAACACCATCAGCGGAACTTCAATGGCTTGCCCCCACATTGCTGGTCTCGCTGCCTACCTTATTGCGCTCGAGGGCCCCCGCTCTCCTACTGCCCTGTGCAAGCGCATCCAGGAGCTTGCTACCAAGGACGCTATTACTAACATCAGAGATGGAGATGATAGCCCCAACCTCATTGCTTACAACGGCAACGGCGCGTAAATTTGTACGCTCTGCTGATTTTCAAGTGTGACCAGCTTACTGTGGATCGGTGTGCTTGGGAGAACTAAAGGAATAATTTATTTTTCGAGAAGTTTTTTTTTTGTACATTTTCTTTTGCCATGGAATCTAATGGCTTTTTGTGAATATTATTGGGGACTTGATGTGTGGATATGGTGAAGATATATATCTTTTGGTGCTGCTTTGTTATAAGAATACAATGGAATGCCATGTTGTAACAACCATCTTGTTTCAGCTCCCAATCCTATTTTCATGAATTACTAAGTTCTCAGTCAATTGTGAAAATAGGGTGGCTTACTTGTACTTCGCCACGCCAAAGCCGTCTTGGCTGTCTCTCTGGATAAAGCTCGATGATACGATCCATCTATCCAGAACTATTATGGCACATGCGGTCATAGGACAAACGGATTTAGTATACTGGGACGGTTGGCCGTTTCACGGTGTATCTGTTTTGGGGATTTTTGTCTGCCAAGCTATACTAAACCTCCAGTTTTGGTAACCAAACTCGGAATATAGAAACATGTATGCCACGCCGCTGAGCAAGTCTGGCGGCAAGGTGGCCGCATACTAGGGACCCCTTTCTCCAATCTCTCCTGTTGCCCTCGCCCGTGGCATCCGTCTCATTTCTCCCTCCCCCTTGTCCTTTCTTTCCTCCTTCATTTGTGCACCTGTTGCATTTCTGATTTTACACTGTACTGTCTACAATTCTCGTCTTGCAATCAACTTTCGGTTCCTACAACATGGCTCGCGGAAGGAAAATGCCTATAGATGGATCTACGAACATGGCTGACTTGCGTGCGCTTGCAACATTGGATAGATTTTTTAGTGAGTTGAGGCTCTTGTCTGGTTGCGCAGGCCTTGAAAGATACTGGAGTATTGATTGGGATCAAGAATAATGGTATGATTAGGCATCGCCATCGAGTCTAGGGCATTCCGGTTGTTTCGGGTGGGGCGATACAAGAGGGCTGCCGAATGCGGCTACGCTGCAAGGGTGGATAGCGATACGGCGAGGCCGCCTTGGATGTGGGGTACTTTTCGCTTCAACTCCACCTGTGCATCGAATTTTATTTGATATATAATCATCAAATTATTCTTTCCTTTCATCGATCAGACAAGATGGCCGAGCGGTTAAGGCGCATGACTCAAGCGAAAGCTTTCCCCCTCTGCGAGGAAGTGTTCATGTAGAGAAATCTGCGTGGGTTCGAGTCCCACTCTTGTCATCATCTTTTTTGCTATCTTTTTGCTCTTTTTGCGCCTGGAATGTTTGAGGGACTTTGTCGCGTCGACATTGGTGGAGGGAGATATTGAACGTGCGTTGGTTGCGTGTCTTTTTGCGCAACATGGTTGGATACTTGCACGTGTATGGTAGCGATTGTCACGAGGAACATTGCTTGAGGCAAGCGTCAACAAATTGAAAATGATAGGGTTAGGCTTGGGATGGAGTGATATGTTCGCATTGATCCGCATATTCAAAACATAGCTAAAGAGCCCCTAGCCTTATGTGACCTACCATTGTACTCTGTGATGAGGGAGGTTTAGAGTTCGTCACGTGGTGGCAACACTAACCCGAGAAGGAGATTCCTAACATTTCTGCATAGATTAGACAGACAGGAGTAAACATTCTGGGAGCCAATTGGAATGCGTTCCAGGCCCTTGGACTCAATATCGGTATGCGACTAGAGCTGCAACAAAGAGTAGTTTGAGTAGCCTTTACCGATGATGGTATATGCCTATCCAGGCCCCCACCTTCATTGACGTTGTAATTACTGCAGCCGACTTCGCTGCTAGCCGGCCCGGGATGGACCTTATCGACATCTCAGGAAGATTTTCGTGTTTCAACAGTTTTTGGATGATGGGCTGCCGTTACACATGCTGACGCTGCCAGGTAGTGGGCAATCGTGTTTTTGAACACCAACACAACTCGCTGATCACTTTATGATAATAAATGGCAGATACTATCATGGCACTTGGCCGATGGTTTCATGATAACGTACGGACACGTTCGGGTAGTGTAGCCACAGCTTGACTGTTAGTGTTTCTGAAAACCGCTTTCAAAATGCAGTTGACATCAAAAAATCCAGGCGCATCAAAAACTATTTCAGTCACCAAATTTCTAAATATGGGTAAATAAAATGACATTGGAGAACGTGCAGTTCAAACACTACTTAGTGGTGTCGGCTAAGTGTAACGCGAAACAGCAATTTCGTGGCTGAGAGGATAAATGACGATAAGATTGTAGGACATGGAGTCACAGCGCCGTTGCGCCGCTATAAAATCTTGATAGAAAACGCACGCAGAAACTCTCTCAAACAGATACATGACGTAAGTAAAATAAAAAGACAGCGATATGTACAAGCCCACCTGCCAAATTGGTTTCTCCGACTTTCCCGTAGCCTGAGCTTGCCATCTCACCGTACCACCAGTTTGCCACTGCAGAATCAAAGCCTCGGTGCATGCAGAAAACCTCTAGAGGAGATACATGATTCGAGAAAATGGTCCAAGTGGTAATGCAAGCCACATGCCAAGCGCATTTGTCCCAATTTCCCCGGAGTCCGAGCTCGCCATCTAGCCGTATCAGCCACCGCAAAACCTGGGGTCGTATACTTCCACCACTCAACTCCAACATGACAAGCCACACTTACGGTATCTGGCATCGCCGTTTAGTTTCGCCAAGGACGACACACCCAGCCGATATTCGCCAAGTTAAATAGTAGCAGCCATATAACAGCTTTGGTATAGAGATGTGCTATACGGGTTTCTGGACCTGCTTCTCGATGCGCCAGGGGCCACTTTTCCGGAAGAATTGGTCGTTCATACGGTGTACGACACTGCAGTGTACCTTTTGGAGCTCTAGAGGTCGATCATGGCAGTAGATAAAATGGAGACAGTGTCGCCTGCTGTTTGCCGCCAGGTGGTTCGTGATAGTTCGCGTATTCTACTAGTGTCTACTGCAAGTCAAGATGAAGCTGTCGGCCCTTTCCCTCCTTTCTTTCGCTCTATCTGCAACCGCAGCACCTACAGGCTCCGATTTTAGCCTGGTCGGGTTCGCCAAAGATAATCCAATCGGCCCAACAACTGGTGGTCAAACCAAGGAAGGCAAAAGCGTCACTGTAGAGACTTTGGCCGACTTCGTCAAGGCAGTAACTAGCACGGAGCCTCTTGTAGTTTACGCCAAGGGCAACTTCAACCTCACCTCGCGAGTTCAAGTCCAGTCCAACAAGTCCCTCATTGGCCTCGGAAAGGGTGCTCAGATCACAAGTCATGGCCTCAACATTTACAACAAGACCAATGTGATCATCCGCAACTTTGGCTTCACAGCCACTGCCGACGACGCCATGACAATCCGCAACAGCACACGTATCTGGATCGATCACAACGAATTCACTACCGGCAACTTCCCCGCGCTAGGCCCTGATGCATTCGACGGCCAAGTCGACATCATCCGTACATCAGACTGGATCACCGTATCCTGGAACTATTTCCACGACCACTGGAAGAGCTCATTGGTAGGCAACAGCGACGCCCTTCGAGACATCGACCAAGGCCACCTCCACGTCACCTACCACCACAACTACTGGCGCCACGAAGGAACACGAGGCCCTGCCGGCCGCTTCGGCCACCAACACGTCTACAACAACCTCTTCGTCGACTTCCTCTACCAAGCCATCCACTCCCGAAGTGACAACCAAGTTCTCGTCGAAGGAAACGTATTCAAAGGAAACACACGCGAGGCACTTAGCACGTACGGCCTTGTTATCCCAGACGACAGCCCGAATACCAGCCCCGACGGCGACTTTGAAATTGACGGCTTTGCGAATCTGGGAGCGAAGAACGATTTCGGCAAGGCCGGCGTGAATATCACTCAGGTTGGAAATTTTACGCAAGCGCCGTACAAGTATAAGCTTACGCCGCTGAATAAGGTGGAGGGTGTTGTTAAGAAGGGGGCTGGCCTGGGTAAGATCTAAGATCGTGCTTTTGCCCGATGGGGTTGTTTCTGTAAATAATGATGGAGCGAGATTGGGTAATGAATGTGATATCCCTTGTTTATCTATTCTGGTCTTGTTTGCATAACGTTAGTCAGTTTTCCTTGGGGAGTTTGAGCATCAAAAGATAACCTCGGCGGTGCTCCTGTTTAACGGAAAGCAAATAGGGTTAGGCCAGTGAGTGAGGCTCAACACTATATTATCGTCCCGGTCAGATTTTAGTGGTCTCCCTTGTACGCTTCCGATTGGAGACTTATACACCCATGTAGCGAGTAGTAGCAGCTACTTACTCGCGATATCTTTATGCTGAGACTTTTGGTGACAGTTAGCTAGCATCTGAATGGATGTGCCTGAGCCATGGTTCTAATATCCTCTCGAGCATGTGAATTTCGCCAGCTCAATCTTTGTGACTATTTGTATCTTACCTCATGAATTTGCTGCGCAAATAAGAAGATCGAAATAGTAGCTTTTGAATCAGCGGATGTTCAGCATACGGTTGCTGATGTCTAGTTGGAAATGCCATCATTTACGAGACTCAACCACATCTTCCTAATACACCACAGTCTCTATGCCTTGGCTGATGTTTCGATTTGCAAAGTTCAAGAGATCCATAACGTCTTTGGCTGGTTGCTCAAGTCAACCATAGCCATACATGTACATAAGAACATTACACTATCAATACATGCAAGCCTATGCGTGAGCCGCGACACCGCCCAACGGTCTTTGTCCTTGAGGGTTGTTTGGCGCAACCGGTTGCAACTCCTCGATAGCCTGGTCATACTCGTTGCTGCTCATATCTGTACCAGCACCATCATCCTGCTGCCCACTAAACATCTGTGCGCGCATAGCCTGCTCATCTTCAATCTGCTTGGTAGCCCAGGCCTTCCAGTTCTCCCACTGGCGGTCCTCGAGCTCCATACCAATCTCCAGTGGTCCCTTGCCAAAGTAGGCACCGACGTGCAGGGCTTCTTCTTTTGCGATACGTGAACGGATTTCGGAGAGGTGACGGTGTTTGTAGAATTCGCGGCGGGCAACGTCGTAGGCAGAGGCTTTGGAGAGGGAGGCGTTCTTCATTAGCCACATTTGGCGCTGGACAACGCTTCGTTATGTTAGTATGGCCACATGGGAAGCAGTAATCGGCTCTACGCACCTTTCACCATCTAATTGCTTGCCCGGCTGCACAATCTTACTCCAATCGTAATTCTTCGAGTCGTTTCCGCTGTCCTCTACTACCAGCCTCGGCCGTGCCAGTTCCCATGGGTGGTCACCGAAGAATTCTGAGCGCAGCTTGTCCTCGGGATATGCGATGGGCAGTGGTTTGAATAGTTTGCTGGCCTTGCGTGCCTTGCGCATCTTGGGTACTCGTAGCACTGGCCTCGCGAGTGTCTCGCTTGGGGGAATATTTCCAATTACATCGTACCATTGTGGCAGCTCTGGGTTTCGCTTTGCGTCGAAGAGGGCCTTTGCGGTTTGGCGGACGCGAAGTGGGCGGAAGTCGTAGCGGCCCATGGCGGGCAGTGTCGATAGTTATGCTCTCACGGGAGCTATATCATGTGAAAGAATTCTCGGGGGTCTTTAGAGGGGGCGGCGATCGGCTATGGGGCACAATGGGCGATGTCATGGATATTATCGTCGTTGTTCTTGCCCGCGCAAACTCCGAAGATTTCGCCAAGACTTCGCGACATTGGAAATCTTTAGATGGTCCATGTGCGGGCATCCGCGCATCACCACCAGTACCGTCCTTCACTCGCCCTATGGAAAGCTCCCCAATGGGCTCCACATAATCAATTGTAGCAGCGCTCGCAAATGGAACACGTCTGAATAGGCTCCCACTGACACGATGCTCGACCTCTCATGTCCCTCTTCCGTACCCTCGACCGGACCTCCGCAGTCTCCAATACCACCAGCACACGACCCTTTCTTTCCTTTTTATGCCCAGTCCTCGACAGAAATACATCAAAGAGAAGGTTTAGCAAGAAGTCGATAGACAATGCGCCATCAGCGCCCAGACAGACGCCCCGCATGGACACTTTTTTCATCCAGGCATTGGTGCAGGCGGCATCGTGCCCAAAGCATACAAAGCGGATGCCAAAATTGTCCAGGATAGACGTAGTTTCGCCACAGAAACACATTGGGAGGTGGAGTAGCACATGGTCCAAGCCAGACGAAAAGGCTCCTAATGCCAGGCTGCAGCGGAGGGGTCCGTTCAACAAGGTCAAGGACTTTGCTGAAAAAGAACTGCAAGCCTTAGTAGACTACTACGGCATGGAGCTTGAAACTGGGCCCGAGCAAGATGTCCCTGATGATGGGAAACTGGTGTGGAATGTTGGAGACAGTCACGAACCATGGCCCCTCCGCGACCCAGCAGACGCTGTGTACATTGAGAGATTGGAAGAATTGCTCAAAGATGAAGAAGCATCACATAACGAGATTTTTGAGATTTACAAGAAGCTACCATCACCTGGGGTTGTATATCTCAAGATTGAAACGATAAGGGCTCTGCTTCACCACCTCGCTGTTGTGGAGCGTCCTACGCTAACCGCAATGCAACGCTACCTTTCTATTCTTGACGACATGAAGAATGCGCACATACACATCATTCGTTCAGAGTGGACATCAGCGATACATCTCTCCGGAAATGCCATGGGCAAGATAGCTGAAGACAAGATCCAGTCAGCTCTCAACATTTGGCGGGACATGGAGCACCGGGCTGGTATCAGAGGTGGCTATGTGACTTTCAACGTGCTCTTTACCGTATCTGTAAAGTCTGGAAAGTACACACTTGCTGAGACATTTCTCAAAGAAATGCAAGCTCGGAAAATGCCAATGCATCGACATCATCGCGTATCGCTTCTCTACTATTACGGCGTCCTACAAAACGGAAACGCGGTCAGGAGGACTTATCAGGAACTGGTCGCAGCTGGAGAGATTGTGGATACGGTAGTTATGAACGCTGTCATAGCATCCTTACTCCGCGCTGGAGAACCTGCGGCAGCGGAGCATGTTTTCGAGCGCATGAAGCGCCTGCACGCCTTGCGCGCATCTCCAGCACCGGGCCACACATTTTTCAATCGCAATTGGCGTGACCGCCGCCTTCTGGGAATGCACTTTAGAGACGAAACACGGAGGTTGAGCCATGAGAAAAACGAAGAGGAATTGAAGAAGCTGCAAGACTTTGCGCCCATTGCGCCAGACTCGCGCACATATGGTGTCTTGATTCGTCATCACGCTGGGGTAGCAGGTAACATCGATCGCGTCCACGAGCTACTGCAGGAAATGAACTGGAATTCAGTCCCGTTGGAGGGCACCATCTTCATTGTCATTTTCCATGGCTTCAACACTTTTGGCGGAGTACGCTACTCATCATGGACAGCCTCGAAACTTGAAAAGATCTGGCAGCGCTATCTAAGGGCTCTCACTGAAGACCTTGAACGGACGTGGGTATCCAGTCTCTCAGTCATTGCAGCTCTCAGGGCTTTCGCAAAATGCACAGCTCCAGAACGCACATTGAAGGCTTGGGAGGAAATCCGCAACCTGTGGCACCACGCTGATGAACAGGAGCTGGAAACTGTGCTGCGTGCGCTGAGAAAACTGGTGCCGAGCCAGTTGGAAACCCAGAGGCCAGGGTTCTTTGATGGCAAAAGGCCGCTTTGAATGAGTATATACAATGAATCCAAATGATTCACCGACATCGCATTTTCATCTCTTATGCATGGGGTGCCTATTTACACGATCTAGTAGCCATAGAATAGGGCAACCAATACTCCGCAAATGCTTTTTCTTATCTATTACGCAAACCTGCAGACCTGTTCGTGCAGGGTTTCTGAAACGACAGGCGGGCAGGGGATCCACGAGCTGGTGATCGACTGCCGTGCAAGGGTTCAGATTTAGCCCCAGGCGCTATATCCGCCCAGCTGAGACTCATGTGGGAGGCCTCGAAGGACTACATGCATGCACATGTTTTGTGATGTGAACGGAGGTGGGGTCCTACAGATCTTCATACGAAGAGCCATGAAAGGAAACATGAAACACTGACGGATGCATGCATCCGGGATTGTGGGATGAGCCGGACTAGTTATGAGCCACGTGTGTGTCGATCTACTGTTATAGAGTAGATGTTGGGTGGGTTGATAGCTTGGCTGTGTTCTTCAGTGTGAAGCTTTACTTATTCGCATCTGTGCTTAGTTCAAGGGCTTTGCAAGTATCAAGATTGATACGGGTGGTAAGTATGTTACAGGTCTTTGACTTCATTACGCTGCCTATTTTTGACATTGCGACCGTGAACATAGTAGAGTGGCCGAAAACTAGGAGCACTGGCCTAATTATAAGCCCCTATTCGGCGATTGAATCATGATAAGAATAGTAGTATCCCGATTTCTAAACTTTCAAGTATTGTGCATCGTCATCACTGAAGTTCTCTAGTTCACACATGATTCTTTCGCCCGCGCTTGAAATGGATCAATGAATCTTGTGGCCATCTACCAGAAATGTTTCACGGTTCTAGTGGGCAGGTTCGCCGTCTTGATTTTGAGCTAAGTCGGAGATTATTGACAAACCTTAATTATTCTCCACTTCCGGCCGTCAGCATATGGCAAAGAGCGTATATGCTAACGAAGTTGCATCGCCCAGTATTAGCTCCAGAAATGTTCAACTAGTTCACCAGTCTCTTGTGGGTATATGGGCCTATTATGAGTGACGTGAATACGATCACGTGGCCATTGATTACTGAGCCAGATGATTGATCGGGCCTAGTTACTATGGGACCGGACCAATGATTACGAAGCTATCGCCCTCGCCGTGGTCCGTAGTTGAGGGTTTCATCACGAGCCAACACTAATTACACTAGTCATTTTAGACACAGATGGTGGCATCTTCCTTGTTCGTAGTCGGCCACGTTCATAAACTATATCCGGCGGCCAGCTTTCCGCCCGATGGCAGAGCCGATCGACTCTTCTAGGCCCAAGCTCATCAGTAACCAAGCGTGTGGGTGAGTTCTGTTTGTGTTCAGCAAGATGCGTAGTCGAGCTGAATTTTCAGTATAGCAAGCACACAAACACATGAAGCTTTGTACACATCGTCGAGCACGATTCGCCTACTTTGCTTCTCCGATATGGCGCACTTAATGTGCGAACGCGGCTGGTTAAATCCGAGGCCTTCCAAGTTAGGAAGCTTTGTATGCTTGGATAAGCACCCTCGGCGAATAAATGTGAGCAGTCTTACAACACATTGACTGCTGCACAGACAAACAGCCCGAAGTGTTGTTGCTGCACTGCAGACCGCTTGACTGTACTTGTCTTCAAAGGGGTCCATGCTACCTATACCCGTATGATTTGGAGCTATGCACTCAAGTATATATGTGCGTTCTAGAATATTTCCCTAGAAGGCCGCTACTTAGGCCGGACTTGTACCTTTCGCACCGAAGACCCGCTGTCCCTCGGGTGTGCGCGAGAAGCCAGTGCAGTAGGATGGCGGCCACAGCTAATCGGGTAACTGCTCTGGCAATGGGTCCAATACGACCGACCTCTTCTAATCTTTCAATCTTGTCGGCCCGTAGATCATGCAGTCAGACGACGTAGCTATTCCTTGCCGTTATCCGTTATGCGCTGACGCGTGTCGAACAGACAGTCTGCGACACTGGTCATTTGGATATCTGGATGCGCATCTGTAAAAACTTGTGCATGTTAAGTTCACCATCACATCACACGACGTCCGAGGTTCATTACTAAATTGTGGGCATCTCCCCTTGCTCGTTGTGGGAACATTATTCGGCAATCTTTCTCCCAACGGTTGGTACGCCCTCTGTCGGTGCATCAGATTCAACAACGTCAAGGGATCGTGACGCAAGCATGTCAATTTTCGAGTCTGAGAAGTAGTGCCTGGCTGTATGTAGTCAGTATCCTGGCCAAGCGCAAAAAACCCTTGCGCAAGAAATGAGGGCCGAATCCTGCCAGAACGGATTTTGGCTAGCGGATCATTAGAAGAGAGTAGCTTATTGGCCAGGCGCATTCGCTTTACCTTCGGTATTTTCAATTCGCCCGGAACTTGGCTCCTCTGGCACCAAAATGGCGATCCCAACGGATCCTTTGTCGCAGTATAGTCATGGCTCCTCTCGCCAGTGACTCGCTGGCTGCGTGGGACTGAGTCGGGTTCTTGAGCGTTCGGTGTCGTTCTCCTCTACGCTTTACCGGCTATTGTCTTCCGTCACGTTCCCCTTCCCCAGTGTCAAATCACGACGAACCAAATCATCTAGGATTGCTGTGCCTCAGTCGATTGTCCCCGCCAAATGCAGGGGCGATGCCTGTCTTGCGTGTGCGTGTCAAAACACCGACCCACCGTGTTGCATACTTACTATCTGGAGATACTTACGTATCCGACTACTTGACTACAATCTCGGAGGAGAAGAGTGTGGCGTCATTTCATCCCGAGGTCTTCTAGCTGACGGGTAGATTTGTAGATGGATCACTAACCATTTGTATACATGTAAGTAAGTACGACATGCATCGTACATATGTACATATGGCCTGAGACGTGGGGAAATCTCGCCATCCAAACTCTGCATCTTGTCATGACAGAACGTGGGGTACCCTGCAATATGGGTGCTGGGATTTTCAAGGCGGCGAGCCCTGACTGGGATTCTAGGATAGAGTTTGCACGAAAGCCTGTCAAATGCAACCATCCGCTTCCTGAGGCTCGTCTCTCGCCTAGCGTTCAGCCTCCGGCAGAGCTCCACCTGCATTAGCCCTGCACAGATAGCATAAAGTTAGCTTGGCAACGGCTCTGAATCGTGAACCAGCTTTCGGCGCAGAGGTCTCGACGGCCCACCAACAGTCATTAGTGCTGGCTCTCCCCCACCAGACTCTCGTCGGCCGTAAGTATCCATCTATCATTCCTGCGTTGTTCTGAGCAGCGCCGGCGCTCTCGCCTCTGCACCAAGATGGCCACCAACATGTCAGGTTTGACAACCTGGGAGGGGATGCTTGCACAGATGCTGTCAAATCCGCCGCCAGCAGATGAACCCCAGCCCTTGTCGAACAGAAAAGGAACCATATTCGGCATCACGCTCACTTTCTTGGTATGATATCAGCGACTCCACACAGTGACTTGGTATACTAACTTTGCACAAAAGACTGTAGCATGGTTTGCAGTGCTTTTCCGTCTTTGGGTTCGTATCAGAATTGTCAAGGAGTTTGGCTGGGATGATGCATTCGTGCTTCTCGCTCAGGTACGTACATCAATCTCAGAGTACGAGGGCCAGGCCTAGGAAATACTGACTTTTTGGACAGTGCCTAAACACTGCAGCGACTATCATCGTGTGTATTTGTGAGTTACGCATCCTACAAGTATGTACTCGGCTAACACTCACAGCGGTCAGATATGGACTCGGCCGACACATGTTGTATCTTGGGTTTGATAACGTGGCTACCTATCTAAGAGTATACATGCCTCATGCCTCCTTATACGAAAACGTATTGACGTGACTAGATGTACTACATAGAACTGGCCATTTACATTTCCAATGGTGCGATTATCAAAGTCGCTTTGCTGTTCCAATATCTGCGTATCTTCAAGGCTGGTCGCATGCGATGGGTATGCATAGGCCTACTTGTCGCAGTGATACTCTGGGGCATCGGCTTCGCATTCATCGCCTGGTTTCCTTGCTTCCCAGTTCGTGGCTACTGGGATCGTACCATTCCAGCAAAATGCTACGCCTTTGGTTTCGGTAATCTGGAAGAGTTCGTTATGACATACAAAGCTCAATCAGCGACCAACATGATGTTCGACATCGCCATATTTGTGGCGCCTATGATACTCTTCGGGACACCGAACTTACGAAGGAAGAACGTCGTAGCAATGGCTGGTGTTTTCTCGTTTGGCGCAGTGTAAGTTGACTTATCTTACGACACACAAAATATTTGGACTAACAATGGCAGTGCTGTCGGAACAGCAGTTGGGCGCCTACACGGCATCGTAAAAACTAACGGCGCGACCTACCCTTACGTTGACTACACCTGGTGGACACCTCCCATGATCATTCTATCCTGTCTCGAAATCGACCTAGCCATTATCTGCGCGTCCATGCCTATCTTCTGGCCCATTGTCGAAAGGTCTCTTGCCACCATCCTCGTCAGCTACGAAGTGCAAGTAGTTGAGGAGCGTGTGGATGACTACGGCCTCACATACGAGCTCGAGCATAAGAAAACAAATGACAGGATGAGTATCAAGAGCAGTGGAACAAGCACAAGAGAGTTAACACAGCAAGAGGAGGACAATAATGGGAAGCGGCAGCAGTTTACAGTAGGCTGTGATCCGCTCAATGAAGAGCGAAGAAATGCTGGGTTTACAGCCAACATTGAAACACTCGCGGCGCCGCCAAAATGGCAGATTTGACATGAATGTTATTCTTTTCCCAGTTCAGGACGATTTTCAATCCATCAAAATGTGACACCCCATGTACCGGAACGCCTCTTCCTCAACTGCCGTCCTTCTTCACGAGACAGTCAAACCTTCATGTCCCAATAGCAGATCGTGGTTGTCCCCTTATGCAACCCCCTCACACCAAACCTCATATAGCGCGGCAGCGCCCCTCCCCCCCTTCCGATTGTCGAATCAGCACATTTTCTACTTACGCTAACCGCACGGCATCTAGGCCCTCCGCGATCTGGAAATCTAAAAGGCAAGCTAAGTTGTCGAGGCCCCCATTCTTTATCGTTTCTCGTCTATTTTACCCGAATCCATACTTGCATTAGACCCTTTTTTTGTTGCTTTTCAAAAGCAAAATGCAAGGCTGTGCCGATCGATCTCGGGCTAGCTTTGATTTTCCTTTTTCCCAGAAGCCATTATATGGGGAGGAAGGTTTCATATGATGGCACACCCCCCTTGACCCATTTTTTCTCATGCTTTCCTGCTTTTCTACTTTCCTGCTCTTGCTATTTAATTGCGCTTGGCGATCACCAGCGGGTTTGGAGGGGTAGCAGGGGGGGGGAGGGTTTTCCGCCAGCATCCTGCTTATCTCTGGGATACCTTCGTGCTTCCCAGCGATGAGGACGTCTCAGGCACGGAGAGGGGAGTACCCGGCTGCTTATGGATATGCCGTCTTGGATGCGCGAGTTGCCGGTGCCGTCTATGCGGTCATTGCTATCTGGAACGAGCCCTTGACGTCAGACAGTGCGTTATGGGCTGATCTCGCCGAACCATTTTCTCTGGGGAAGTCGCCTGTTCGCCAGAATGTAACAGGGTAGGGTACAGTAGGTATAGGTAAAGTATATGGTACAAAACTTTCTTCGACAGGGATGCTATTGCGCGCATTTTGATATGACTTTCATACTACCACTAGGTTTTTACTTTACATGTTGCAATGGAACGAATGTTAGCGTTGATCTAAAATGTCCGTATCACGCCCAGCTGAGGGATCGAGCTTGGCTATGAGGGGAAATCTCGCGATGTACGCGCAGAAACTCTTTCTTGTTGAACGATCATTTTCAAGGACCATCCCTCGCCCATCGTTAAGCTCGCTGTTTCATTCGTTTAGGTCGTTGTCGCTTCACATCGAGAGTACTTACTTCTCGCTTACTAGGATCCAGCCGCAAAGTATTTGCTTACCGGCTGAACTTTGGGCTTTGTTATGACATACTCTGTACCCTGCTGCAGCGTTTGTTTATTTTTTCCAGTGGTGATCATGGACAGGGGGCTGTCAGCCGACCTGGTGTGCGGAATAAAAACTAGACGGGATACTTGACATTTGACTACGCAACAAAGGCTGTCAGAGCCGGCAGCCCCTTTTCGCTTGCGCTCTACGTATTTTGCTTCGGCTGTGCTGTGCTTTTTCTGCGCCGGCTTTGCCCTTATCTATAGTTAGCCGACCACCAACACCATGCGATCAATGAGCATGGTGCAAAGCCGCCGCGGCGCGGCACATACCTCCCGTCGCCGCGTTGCCGCGGACCTGCGCCATCTTGTTCTTGTACCGGTCAAAACCCGAAGTTTCGTAGATCCTATCTTCAGCTTACACTTCATAACTCATTGTTCTTGGAAATGGCGCTTACAAGGTACGTATGAACATGCATTTTTAACGTGATTGCGACGCCAAGTGGCCGTCTTTGCGTGGCATACCAGTACAGTAAGATGGCTTGTCCGGCCAGGCCGGGAGTGTTGGTGGAGCACAGGTATTAGGGGATGAGCTGGGCAGATGAGGGTGCACCTAATGGAAGTATGACCGACGAGTACAGCTGCCGAACATAACACGCTTGTACTTGGTTCTTTTCAGCACTGTTGTTCCCATGAAACACTGGTCTCATTGGCTTGTTCCCGTGTCAACGCAAACAATTACTGCAAAGTGCTTCGATATGTCTAAAGTAAGTAATATATGCGCTTCCCATTCTCACGGTTGCGACCTCTACAGATGCATAAACCAGGATACCAAGTCGGCGAACATGACGAGCATTCAGCGCAGTGGGAAATGAAAGGACCCGAGCAGATCATTTTCCATTCATCTTTCGTGCATAATTTCTGTGTGTCTCGCTTTTTTTTCCATGTCCCTGCCCGTGTACTTTACCTATGTTTAGACTTTCTCACTTTATTGTTAGTTCCCCTTCAATCTCAACGTTGGCTCAGAAAAAGATACCACTTAATGTCAATGCGACCTCCAAGATGAAAATGGCTACTGATTTGGTGCAAGAATTGTTAATACCATGCCTACAAGTTCTGATGCAGTGCTTCCTAAAGTTATTCTTATCTATGTTTGCATAGCGAGATGCACTTTACTCACACGATAACGGATGAAACTATATGGGAAAATACGCTAAATTTTTGCACAAGAGTAGGCCTATGAGTCGTCACGGCGAAGTGAGCCGCTCCATTGTATCAATATCAGAACAATTGGCCAATATCGCTGCATCCACACCTGCATTATGACGAGTTTCTCGGAAAAATGAGCCAATCACGAAGGAATATTGACTATGCTCGAAGTTTATTTGAGATTTTTCTTTTCCGGATAGAAGAAATACCAAAGCTAAGGCTCTTGTGCAGCCTCTGCAATATCAAGCTGTAACCGCAATCATGATTGCAGAGACAGTGCTGCGCACTTGAACACCTTTAGCTCCACATCAGCACTAGCGTGATCTTCCTTATGCGGTAACACGTCCTAGCTCAAGCTCGTGATACTGAACCCCAAGTTTCCTAGGCGAGGATCTGGTAGTTTTTGTAGGCGTGATACGCGCTGAGAAACCGGATGCAGCTATAGTGCTCCTTACAACAGCAAGGGCCTGCCTAACCCGGTAAGCGGGAACTCAGGTTCTTCCACCTTTTCTTTGTCTCCAATATGATGCATGTATTTCTGTTTTGACTGTTTGTTTTGGGGGCCAATGAAAGTTATGATGATACCATCTTGCCTGTTAAAATGATCCTCGTGCCCATTCAATGCTTTGCTACTTGCTTGTTGAAATTTTGCGTCGAGAAGAAATCTCACATAGCGCACCGATATAGTTAAAGAAGAATACGATACCTTCCTGCCGAACTCCCGTTCAGTACACTACTCCACATCGACTCTATTTAGGGATCCCGTGATCGCAAACAAAACGACTAGCAAGGTACAACATCACGTATTCTGAACATCAGCCCTGCCGACCTAAACGAGATTTAAGCTTGCCGCCTGGCTATCGAAACTTGCCAATCTCTTCATCATGACGTCACCTCAGAGCAGTCGCGTCATCATCGATCCAACTGGAGACGCACTGATAACTTTGGGGAGCTCAGGAAAAGTCTTTGCTCTCTGGATAGAGCCCCAGGATAGTTCGAGTGATTCAGGAGATATAGAAACCGAAGATCTCAGTGAGGATCTTGATTATGAAGATCATAGCGATGGAGAGGAACTGCCCAATTGGATGAGGTGGGACGAATCTGATCCAGAGTACGATTTACAAGAGCAGCCTAAGCATCAGGACGAGTCAATACCTTCTACAATCCCTGAAAGACGGACTCATGGAGTTGAAGTACCTCCCGCGCCAGTTCATCCATGCAAGCGAAGCCTGTCTCTGCCACTTGTCTACCAGGTTTCATCAGCGCATCTCATCACAGCGTCTCCAAAATTCGGAAGTGAGCTTCTATCCTCAAGAGACGACCAGAAAGACAGCAGTAGCCTCCATCACATCAAATGCTCAGACTGGGACCCTGAAGCCTTCGAGATATTACTCAACACATTGCACACCCGCTACCGCCGAGTACCAAAGCAGCTGAGTTTGGAAATGCTCGCCAAAATCGCTGTAATGGTTGACCACTACAAATGCTGGGAAGCTTTTGAACTGATATCTCAAACATGGATTAGACACATTCGTGTGTGCCACCCGATGCCTCAGACCTATAGCTGCGACCTGATGCTCTGGATGCTGGTCACCTGGGTATTCAAGTTACCGAAAGAATTCACCAGGGCCACCGCTATAGTGTTGCGACAATGCACGGAGTCAAAGATACAAGATATGGGATTGAGAATTCCACCATCAATATTTCGTATGTGGTATCAAGGCCTTGGTCATTAGCAAATTGCTCACACGAAACAGGGACGCTGGAGGTCCGACGTTCAGAAGCCATCGAACAAATCATCGAGACATTCAACTGCTGGATCGATGAATTCAGCGACACCTACACGTGCCGAGTCGATGCTGACTTGTCTTTTGAGTGTAGCTCGATATTGCTTGGTGCGCTCATGAAGCAGATGCGAAACATCGATGTTCTATCACCTCAAGTCGTTGCGCCATTCGATGGGTTCAGTCTGGAGAAGGTCCACGAGAATATCAAAGCGATACAATCACCGATTTGGGAGACGTACGATGGAGTCAATGAGCTTTACCCTATTAAGCATGCTTGCGGCTTTCAAGGGACGATCATACGGGATGTTGGGCACATTGTTGCGAGCGCGAAGGGGTTGGTGCTGAGTGACTTTGTGGATTGCAGTGATAATATGGAGGGGTTGAGTCTTGGTTGCCCGTAGATGCTGTCGGGGAGTATTTGATGTTCTCGCTTTGGTGTTTGGTTCCTACTTCGTATATACCCACATTCACGAACACTTGTTTTCTGGAGAATAATAAATGAATATGATATGAAGGCGTCGGTAGTCATAGAACCGTGATAACAAGATGTTGGTGTCCTCCACTTTTTTGCATTCCGTGATCGTCGTATCATATTTTATTGGCAGTTTTCATATCTTATTTCAGCTAGGCTAAGCTAAAGATTCCTTGATGTGTCCGCTTGCTGATGTAAATGAAATGTTTCCTGAAGAGTCTCCAAGAAACTCGATATCGTGCAAACATAGCAGCGAAGCCTGAGATGCCCGATCAGATAATCAATATAATATCACTTGGACCATGATGACTTCTGTGACTTGACAGCAGACTTGC